GGGGGCTCTCACTTCCTGTGTTGGCTGCTTCTCTTCTGTCTGGATTTTTTAAATAACTGGTAGCGATTCCTTTTGTTATGAACCGTGAACATGCATTTAGGATGTGTCTGGTTTCTTGGGGCCCCGGCCCAGCGAGCCCAGCAGGGCCAGCACCTCGGTTCCCAGGGCCCTTTGGGTTGGTCCGGGCTTGCGTGGTTGGGTCAGTGTCTGCCTCCCCCTAGAGGGCAGTGCGGCCTTCCCGGCTCGGGCTGGCTGGGGCTGCACAGGATGGGGCTCCGGTGCTGGTGGAGGAGGCGGAAAGCAGGTCTAACCGCTAATAGCAATAACCCTTCCCAGTGGGAGGGGCGGCCCCAGCAGGCAGCCACGGTCTTCGTCTCTCGCCCTCCACACAAGACTCAGCTTGAGTACCCCCTACACCAGGCGAGGCTCTCCCCAGCTGAGACCCCAGCCTGCCCAGCCGCCCCAAGGCCTCTTTGCCATTTACTGAGTCAGGTCAGGTCCAGTGTAAGCAGCTGACTCTGCCCTAGGTCCATCCCAGTGTCCATCTATCAGCCCATTCATCCATCAAGCCATCTATTTATCCATCCATCCATCCATCCACCTGGTCACCATCCATCTACCTACCAACTCACCACCCACTCACCCATCCACCCACCCTCTCACCCATCTACCCACCTACCCACCCACCCATCTGTCCACAGACCTATTCACTCGTTTATTTACTCCCACCCACTCATCCACTCATGCATTCTCTCGTCCATCTATCCACCAGTCCATCCATTCATCCACCCTTCCACCCACCCACCCACTAATCCATCCGTCTATCTACCCATCATCCATCCATCCATCCATCCATCCGTCCATCCACACGCCCACTCACCCCTTTATCTACCCCCCCACCCATCCCCCCACCCGCCCACCTACCCACTCATCCATTCACGGACTTGTCTACTCATGCATTTTATTCAACAAGCCTCCCCAGGGTGCCTGCCCTGTGCTGGGTGCTGTGGGCGCAGAGACGAACCCAGCGCGACTCTGCCGACCAGAAGCTCACGGCTGGGAGGGGAGGTGTCTGGGCCTGTGCAGAGCGGCCTGGACGGAGAGGTGGTGTGTTTCTTTTTCCGCCGTGAGGAAGGGCAGGGTTTGGGCGTGTTCGTGCGACAAAAGGCAGGTGGAACTTGGCCGTGGGGACTGGGAGAACATGCTTGTCTCAAATACCTTTCCTAACACTGCCTCCCTCCCTCACCCCAGCGCTCCCTGCCCCCCCCCCCAACTCAGTGTCTCTCCTTGGCCCTCACCACCCTCTGGACACGGGTCTGTGCTAGCTGCTGTCGCCCTGGGCCTGGGGCGTGCCACCTTGCAGTGTTTGTTGCATGAGGGGAGGGCCTGGGTGGGACCAGGCTGTTGTCTGTGGGGAGATGATGCAGCTGGAGGCTGTGCGGATGGATTGCCAAAGTGGATCTGAACTTGAACTTCGGTGGTCTGACCGCAGGACGTCATGCCTCACCTGATGTGGGTTACAGGGGGAAAGGCGTCCAGGGCAATTTCCAGGTTCTTGGCTCAGGTGCCACGGCATGATTGGCACTCATCAGCTGGATGCTTTGCAGGAAACATGGGTCTCAACGGTCCCCTTTCTTCAGTTAGACAATGCCCTTCGAGCCCCCTCATCGGCCACGGTATCAGCCTTCCACGCATGGATTCGTCTGCAGGTGAGTCCAAGCACCGACTGTACTTGCCCTGCTCTCACCAGGCCTGTCACCTCCTTCCTTCTGGAACCTATGCTCTTATTGATGCAGCCTCGGCATTGGGCTGGCCACTTCCACGGGGACATGCCCGGAGCTTGCCCTGATTGGCCACAGATGTGAGGAAGGTACCATCCCTGTTTGCCAGGTGCAGAAATGGAGGCTCAGAAGGGTCAAGGGGCTGGCCCCAGGCCCCGGAGCTGGCATGAGCCACAGGGCTGTGTGTGGTTTGGACACAGGCAGCTTGGCTGCTAACCAGACCAAACTGCCTCTCTCTAGAGTCCAGGACAGGCATCAGGGCTGGCCTTGGACGGGCCACATCCCGCCCTTTGCCCTCTGCCGTGGCAGCTGCCCCTGGCCACTTGTGTCCCCCTCTCCCAACTGGCTGGGCAGGCGCCGGCGAGGCTGCCCTCTGCCAGCTGTCGGCCTGCTCAGGGCCCGCCTGCAGGCCCGCCCGCCCAGACACGCGGCCCTGCCCCGACAGGGCGCCTGGACCTGGTGGTGTTTGTTTTGATTTTCACTATGTTTTTATTGTTGTTCAATTATAGTTGTCCCCACTTTCCCCCCATAACTTTTTTTCTTTTGATTGCTATAAGCTTTAATGTTGATAAGAACTGGACTGTAGCCCTGGCCAGCGTGGCTCAGTGGATTGAGCGCCGGCCTGTGATCCAGGGGGTCGCAGGTTTGGCTGCACAGGCCTGCGTTGTGGGCCAGGTCCCCCGTTGGGGGCACGCAAGAGGTAACCATACACTGATGTTTCCCTCCCTCTCTTTTTTATCCTTCCCTTCCCCTCTGTCTAAAAATACATAAAATTTTTAAAAGGAAAAAGAAAAGAACTGGACTATAATACAACTGAAACGCAGTGGTATGCTGAGCAAGTACATCTAAAAGTGAAATCACAGACTTGATTTTTCTGTACATTTGTTTGTTTGTTTGTTTGTTTAAAGAAAAGTATAGCCCTGGCTGGTGTGGCTCAGTGGGTTGAGAGCTGGCCGCGAACCAAAGGGTCACCAGTTCGATTCCCAGTTGGGGCACTTGCCTGGGTTGCGGGCCAGGTCCCCAGTAGGGGGCGCATGAGAGGCAACCACACATTGGTGTTTCTCTCCCTCTCTTTCTCTCTCCCTTCCCCTCTGTCTAAAAATAAATAAATAAAATCTTTTTTAAAAAGTAAAGAAAAGTATAAAGTCAGCTAGCAGTCCCAGATGAAAGAACAAATAAAATAGGTGGATTGGATAGTTAAGATGAGGAAGGAAAATGACCGTCTCGAGCTCAAATGGACGGAGCGGTTTATTCTGCAGCCAGAGAGAGAACAGGGCGGCGGGGGGCCTCCAACTGGTGGGGCGCGAGGCTGCCTGCCTGTCAGGCCCCCCACCGCTGACGCCCGCATTTTCTGCTCCTCGTAGGGCTCTCTCGGGGGGCGCCCTCGGCTAAGGTGAGCAAGGCCTTTCGATGTTTGTATCTGCTTCTGCGCGAGTCTCAGGAGCCGAACTCCATGCCCCTGTGTGGCCTGCTCTCCTCCTCCTCTGGGCACAGCTCTCGGTCGTCCGCTCTACACCCACTGGTTTCCCAGCAGCCGCTCTCCACGCCCTCCCTGGCACAGCCGCCTGCACTTCCCAGCCATTTGCTGCCGTGTTCAAAGCCTGCCCTGTTGGTGAGGTCACACACTGGCATGATGTCGCACACTGGGTGAGGTCACACACTGGCATGAGTGAGGTCACGCACTGACATGAGGTCACACACTGGCATGAGGTCGCACACTGGGTGAGGTCACACACTGGCATGAGGTCGCACACTGGGTGAGGTCACACACTGGCATGAGTGAGGTCACGCACTGACATGAGGTCACACACTGGCATGAGGTCGCACACTGGGTGAGGTCACACACTGGCATGAGGTCACACACTGGCATGAGGTCGCACACTGGGTGAGGTCACACACTGGCATGAGGTCGCACACTGGGTGAGGTCACACACTGGCATGAGTGAGGTCACGCACTGACATGAGGTCACACACTGGCATGAGGTCGCACACTGGGTGAGGTCACACACTGGCATGAGGTCGCACACTGGGTGAGGTCACACTGGCATGAGGTCACACACTGGCATGAGGTCACACACTGGGTGAGGTCACACACCGGCGTGGTGCCTGTCACTCCTCTGTGGTAGGAGCTGTGACATGTGAGATGGAGCCTGGCCTGCCGTGTCCCTTATCTGTAGCTTGATCTTCTTTCCTTGTAATTCAACTGCTTTGATCTTAAAACCTATTTGATGAGAAAATAAAAAAGTGCAAGGTAAAATACCTAATGCAAAGGAATAAAAGATGTTTCCTAGAAGGAAAAGTGACAGCCTTCCTAGGCCGCAGAGCGAGAAGACAACTGCGACCCCTGCGGCGTTAACACTTGCCCTCTCCCCGGCCCCGCCGGGTTTCCGGTCAGCGAACGCCTTAGGCAAGTTCACGGTCGCTCTGAGCCTCAGGGTCCTCTCAGGGCTGCAATGGTCTCGAGTGAGGAGTGGACAGAAGCGGCCTCCTGGCGGAGCAGCTTCCCTTCCACGCGTGTCCTGTTTGGTGGGTCCCGCGGGGCTTGCTCCCCTGGCGCAGCGAGCTCCGCTCGGTGCTGGGCCTGTGCTGGGCACTGGGGACGCAGCACGGCGGCGGGCTTGGCCGGGCCCCGGGCGCCGTGAAGGGCGTGGGACGGGCCTGAGCGGCTGGTGTCCGTGCTGGATCCAGGAGGGCTCTGGCCAGCCCCCTGGTGTCAGGAAGCAGGGGCCCCTCGTCCCCACTCCCTCCCTGCCGGCCGGGCTCCTTGAGGCCCGGCCTCTGCCGGGACAGTGTTTGCTGAAGGCATCGGTGCGGGAGCCCGGAGGGTTCCCGGGGCAGAAACAATTCCAGGGGCGTCGGGGAGGCCCAAGGACGCGAGTGAGACCTGAGCAGGGGCTTGGAGGGACAGGGACATCACGGCCCCATCCCTGGACCTCCCCAGGAAGTGTCTGGCTGTGGTCTGGGACCCTGCCTGCAGGCCATGCGGACAGTGGGCCTGCTTCCCCAGAGCCGACAGCTCCCTGGCCTCCCCCGGACTTCCCACAGCTGCGACCCGCTCCTGAGGGCACTGGGGCAAAGGGCCTTTGTGGGGGTGGGAGGGATGCCAGGTGGGCATCGATCTGTTGCTTCCCAGCACACCCTCTGCCTTCTGGGCCACTGGTCAGCAGGCTCCCGCCTCCTGTCCCCTGCCCCCCGCCCGCCCCACAGCTATTTAAGGGCTGAGAGGAGCTGCGGAGGCCATCCTGGAGGTGGCGGCCGTGTCGGACTGCGCTCAGGCCGGGAGACCCAGGGCCTCCCCACCACCTGCACGGTCAGTCCATGGATTTTGTGGCCGGAGCCATTGGAGGTAACAGAGGGAAAGCAGGGCCTTGTTCGAGGGGGCGGGCGGGGGCTGCTCCTTCTGGGGGTGTTCTCTGCCCTGGGGGGTGGGCTCTGGCAGATGTGGGGTTTGAGGCGTCACCCCAGAAGTGGCTGGGACCTGGTGTGGGCCACGGGTGCTGGGTGCAGGGAGGACAGGGTTGGCTCCTGGGAGACTCGGGTAGCCATGCGGGCTGGGTGCACCTGGGGGCTCAGCTGGGGCGGCTGAGGGCACTTCCAGGTCTCTGCCTAGGCCGGGTGGGGGCCGGGCGTGGCCTGCAGGGAGAGGGCCGGGTGGGGCCTGGGGAGGACAGGGGCCCCGGGAGAGAGTGGACAGCGACAACGGGACACTTCCTGGAAGCCGTGGGCAGAGGAGGGGAGGGCCGGCCGCCCCCGGCCCATGGCCATGTGTCGGTGTGTAATCGGCCCCGCCGGGCCCGGGACTGTTTTTGCGTCTAGGGATCGGGCTCGTTGCGAAAGGCCAGCCCAGACGGGTAACTGACCTTTGGGAAACGGGGTCAGGCGGGGCTCTGGCTCCGCCCAGCCATCCACCCTGCTGGCTGCCGGCCCTGGCCTCACTTATCCTGTGAAACAGTGCGGGGCTCCTGGGCCACGCGTCTGAGAACAGTGTGGGAGGGGCGGGGGCTCGCTGAGGTCCCACTGTGTGCCAGGCCTGAGGCCAGCTGCTGCCCAAGGGGGAGGCTCAGAGAAGGGGATCGATTTGCCCAAGATCACACAGCGTGGAAGGGCTCCTGAGTCCCGCGTGTTTCCTCCCCAGCGGCCCCCAGGAGGCCTGGGTGGGAAGGGCCCCGGCTCTGTGCCGGGTCCTGGGTCGTGGGGACCAGGTGCAGGCCTTGAACTTGAGGATCTCTAGTTCTAGAGGCAGAGATGGCAGGCCGTGGGACAGCTGTGAACCCCAGAATAGGGCTCGGATCCACAAACTTGGGGTTCCAGGCAGCGCTGGGTGAAGCCCCCACCCCCAGACAAACCCTTCACAGCCTGAGGCTGGCGGGCCAGTGCTGCCTGGCGTGGGCCAGGGCCCAGCAAGCGCTGGACCGGTTCTCTCAGAAGCTGAACCGCAGGGCAGGCCGGGGAGCATCCTGGGCTTCCGGAGGAGGCACCTGTGGGCCAGGACTCCGGGCGGAAGAAGCCGCCGGCAGCCTCTCAGAGCCGCTGCGGCTCTGAGTCTGCTTCCTCCTTCCAACACGGGCGGCTCTCGCGCGGACGAGACGCCGTGTGGACGAGGAGTGTGGGTCTGTGCTCTCCCCCCTGCACCCTCCACCCTCGCGTGTCCCTCTGCTCTCCCTGCAGGTGTCTGCGGTGTCGCTGTGGGCTACCCCCTGGACACGGTGAAGGTGCGGCCACAGTCACGCCCCGCCACGCGCCCCAGGGCCCCTGCCCGAGTGTGGGCCACCCCGAGAGTCTCCGGCGCCCCATCCCCGGCCAGAAGAGCTCTCTAGCACGCTCCCCTGACCCAGCCCGCCCCGCCGCCCTGGGGACTGCCTGTCGCTCCCTTCCGGCCTGCGCCCCAGGTTCCTCCTCGTACCTGGCGCTCACTGCCCCTGCTCTGCCCACCGTCAGCACGGCCACGACAATCCAGGAGTGGGCTCTGCCCCTCCCCCAGGGCCCGCTGCCCTTGCCCCAGGCCCGCAGCCACCCGCTTCTGAAGCCCACTTCTCCCACAGGTCAGGATCCAGACGGAACCCAAGTACACGGGCATCTGGCAGTGTGTCCAGGACACGTATCGCCGAGAGCGGGTAGGCGGGGCGGGGTGATGGGCAGGGGTGTCGGGGCCTCGGACCTCTGGCCTGCCACTCGCCAACAAGCCAGACGGTGCTCAGCCCTGCTCGGGGCCTTGGTTCCCTCTCCTCCCAAGGGCCAACAGTAGCATCAGCCCCCCGAGTCTTCTGGGGGCCAGAGCCGGGGCATCTGGCACACAGGGGTTTAGAAGGAGGTCCTCCCTCCAGGAGGGGTCTAGAGGGGGTGTGTGGGGCTTTGAAGGTCTGGGGGGTGGGCCATGTGTTTGCATGTCTGTCCCCTTCGGGCTGGGCACCAGTGGTGCTGGGTGGAGGTGTCGGTCCCCAGGGTCCGGGTCAGAGGCCTGTCCAGAGCAGGGACCCAGGGACATTTACGAAGGTGAAGAGGGGGCTTGGTGCTGGCCAGGGACCAGCTACAGGAGCACAGCCACCACCAAGCATGCCAGTGCACCGTCCGCTCCTCACATCGCGGCCGCGGGCCCAGCCCGGCCCTCTGTCTCCTCACTCCCTTGTCCCGGTGTACCGGGACCCCCTGTCCCAGCTCAGGCTCCCGAGGTGCTAGGCGGCGAGTGACCTGCCGGAGCCCCGCAGCCAGGGAGGGCCTGCAGGGACGAGACAGGGCCGTCCCCCGGACCTCCTGGTCGGACCTCTGGCCTGACTTGGGCCCTCGGGTCCCGTTCGCCTGCCCGCCAGGTGCGGGGCTTCTACAGGGGCCTCTCTCTGCCCGTGTGCACCGTGTCCCTGGTCTCGTCCCTGTCTTTCGGCACCTACCGCCACTGCCTCGCTCACATCTGCCGGTTCCGGTACGGCAGTGCCGATGCCAAGCCCGCCAGGACCGACATCACGCTGTCGGGGTTCGCCTCCGGCCTCGTCCGTGTGAGTGGGGTGGACGAGAGGGGTCCCTGGGCGCGCAGGGGTGGGCAGAGGCTGGGAGGGCCTGAGAGGTCGCCAAGCCCAGAAGGCAGGGAGACTGAGGCTCAGGGCGGACGGAGACTGGTGGAGGCTGCGGGACTGTGGGTGAGGACTCGGCTGACCCTCGCTAGCCGAGGGGACGTGAGGACTCTGGGGAGCCGCTCTGGCCTTCTGACTCTTCACTGGTGAGTGGCGTCATGCTGAGAATGAAGTGACATCACGGGTCATGTCCCCAGCACAGCCTGACAGGCAGGAGCTCCCATGAAAGGGCAAACCACATTATTTGTGACATGATGTTACCTCTTTAAAAAAAATTATTATTATTATCTTTGCCCTGGCTGGTGTGGCTCAGCGGATTGAGTGCCGGCCTGCGAATCAAAGGGTCTCGGGTTGGATTCCCAGCTGGGGCACATGCCTGGGTTGTGGGCCAGGTGCCCAGTAGGGGGCGCAGGAGAGGCAACCACACATTGATGTTTCTCTCCCTCTCTCCCTCCCTTCCCCTCTCTCTAAAAATACATAAATAAAATAAATTATTTTTTAATCCATGCCTGAGGACTTGCTTATTGATTTTATTTTATCATTTGAAGATTTTATTTTTTTATTTTTAGAGCGAGGGGGAGAGAGGGAGAGAGAGAGGGACAAACATTGATGTGTGAGAGAAACATTGACTGGTTGCCTTTTTTATGTGCCCTGACAGGGGATCGAACCCACAACCCAGGCATGTGCCTGGGCCGGGAATGAAACCGGTGACATTTCGGTTTGCGGTACAACGCCCAACCCACGGAACCATACCAGCCAAGGCCAATGTTACATGCTAATGTTATTAGCCTGACTTTAAATGCATATATTAATTATCACATTAATATGTCATTAACAAATTAATTATGTGGTTAAATGCTTTCATGAACCGGAGTCACAGACATTCACCCGACACCTACTGTGTGCTTACGCCCACGCTGTGTCACAACGAGTGGGTAGCCAGAAGGAAGCGCGGGCTTTGGCTTGGGTGGGCGGAGCCGGCTTTGAACGCCCTTCACCAGGGCCACAGGTTTCCCCACGCCACCACGGGGGACAGGAGGCTGACGGGAGTGGGGGGCGGGGGCAGGTCCAGGGGTGCGTGGCAGTGTCGGCGCCTCCTCATCGCTGCTGCATCTCCGTTCTAGGTATTCCTGACCTCGCCTACGGAGGTGGCCAAGGTCCGCCTGCAGACGCAGACGCAGGCGCAGGCGCAGACGCAGCTGCAGGCGCCGACGAGGCGGAGATCCTTGACCTCGGCAGCGGCGGTGCCGCCCTTGTGTCCCGTGCCCTCCGTAGGTCCCGTGCCTGGGCCGAGGTACCGCGGGCCGCTGCACTGCCTGGCCACCGTAGCCCGTGAGGAGGGCCTGCGCGGCCTCTACAAGGGCAGCTCGGCCCTGCTCTTCCGGGAGGGCCACTCCTTCGCCACCTACTTCCTCTCCTACTCCATCCTCTGCGAGTGGCTCACCCCCGCTGGCCACAGCCAGCCAGGTGAGTGGGGGGGGCGGGGCCTGGAAGGGGGTGCAGGCTCCGCCAGTGGGAATTGAGTCGTGTTGTCACACTGGCTGCCCAGTGCCTCCCGGGGTGGGAGCCTCAGCGCCCTCTACAGGGAGGGTCAGGACAGACCCGCTCAGGTGTGGCCTCCGGGGAGTCACGTGGGTGGAGTCAGCCCCGGCTCTGTTACAGCTGGGCCCTGCCCCGGGTGCCCCACCCCCTCTCCTCTGGCTCCACCTCCAATCACGGCGCTCCGGTGGGTCTCCCCATGCAGATGTCTTGGGTGTGCTGGTGGCCGGCGGCTGTGCGGGAGCCCTGGCCTGGGCCGTGGCCACCCCCATGGATGTGATCAAGTCTCGCCTGCAGGCGGACGGGCAGGGCCGGCGGCGCTACAGGGGCCTCCTGCACTGCATGGTGACCAGCGTGCGGGAGGAGGGGCCGCGGGTCCTGTTCAAGGGGCTGACGCTCAACTGCTGCCGCGCCTTCCCCGTCAACATGGTGGTCTTCGTCACCTACGAAGCCGCGCTGAGGTTCAGCCGGGGGCTGCTCCAGTAGCCGGTCCCGCCGCCGCAGGGGCCGACCCGCTGGCACCTTCTGGAGGTCGCGGTAGCTGGAGGAGGCAAAGGGGCGTGTCCCCACGGGGCGCCACCCGGTAGAGGTGGGAGCCACACCAAAGACAGTCGGCTGGGGCCTGGCCTTGGCCTGCCCAGCCACAGACCTGAGAAGGCCAAGGGGCCCATGGTCACCGGCCTGGTGTTGGCCTTAGGGTCACACGGGCCAGGGAGGAGCGGCCTCTTGCATGAGGACATCGGTTGCCTGGCGTCGTGGGTGCATGTGGTCAGTTGTTCCTTCCAGCCTCCCTGTCGCCTGTTCGGAGCATCCCTGCGTCCACACCTCTACCACTTCCTCTGCTGTCCTCCTGGCCGCCGCCCCCTGCCCCGCTCAGCTGCCCGCTGCGGTAGGGTGCTCTTCACCCACTGTCCCTTGGGTGCGGGTCAGTGGGTCCCCCCCAGCGGGTTCCAGGCTCCGGGCTGCACTGCCGGGGGGCCAGGCCAGCTGGGGAGGGCAGGCCGTGCACTGGGGTGGGGGGGTGCTGTTGCAATTAAACATCACTGAGGACATTCAGGGGTGCTGCTCTGTGGTCTGGTGATTCTGGTGACCCGTGTCCTTGCCTTCGAGTCATCCTCAGAGGCCAAGCCCTCCAGACCTGTGTGACCCGTGCTCCCACCGGGCGGATGGCTGGCTCCGCTCCCTCGGCCCTCGGGCCTGGGGGCCTGGCCGGTGGGCCGAGCCCTGCCACGGGGTGCTACTCCGAGTTTCGCACGAGACCTGCTCTCCTGCAAGGTCTCAGCGCTCAGCCCTGCTCGGGCGAGTGAGGACCTCACTCCCCCGGACCTCATGCCCCTGTGGTGCCGCCCCCCATCTCAGATCCATCTGAGCGAAACCAGCTCCGGCCTGTCCTGGCCAGCTGTTTGGGCCCGCCCGTGCCCGGACCCTAGGCTGGGAGCCACCTCTCTACAGGGGCCCAGAGGACGGAGGGGTCGGTGTGTCCAGAGCCCTGCCGGGCACCAGGCACCTGACACAGCTTGTCACAGCAGCCTGACGCCAGGTGAGGAAACAGCTGAGACGGAGCCGGGCCTCCACGCGGCTACGTGGCCGGGAGGGTGGGGGCTCCTGCAGCCCCCGCTCTCCCTCCGGCTCACATGTTATCCGTGGATGTGGCTGTCGGGGGCCAGCGCTGGCGGTGCAGACAAACCTGCTGGGTCCCCGCGGCAGCAGCCCCCGGGCAAGGCCAGCCAGCACCTGCCTCGGACTGCACTCAGCCCTTGTAGACACTGGCCTTGACCGTGTCTGCCTGCGGACAGAAGAGCCTCCGGTGTTCTGGCCACACAGCCTGCTGTTTCCGGGACACGTGGGTGGCCTGTCCCGGCCTGGCTGCTGGGCACATTGGCCTGACCAAGGCTTCACTGTGTACGCCCCGCGCTCCCTGCCCGGCTGACTGACCCCCTCAGACATCACCGCCTCCAGGAAGCTGTCCCTGCCTGGCCGCCAGGCTTTCGGGTGTCGCCTGCTCAGCGCCCACAGGGCCCCGGTGTGTGGTCCGGTCACACACCCCTCCCCCACCTGAGACTGGGAGCTGCCCAGGGGCAGCAGCTGTCTGGTCTGGAGTGCACCCCGGCCCATGCAGGTGCTCAGGGCTGCGGCGTGGGCGTGGACAAGTAAAAGCACAGGGCCCTGCACCACTTGCTGGGGGTCCGTCCAGGTGGAATTAAAGACGCTGGCACGCTGGCCAGGTGCCGGGAGAAGGCCGGCGAACGAGAGCCTTTGCCGCGGCAAACCTGGCGCCGCATCCATGTGCTCCCGACCTGGAGAGGGCATGGGCTGGGGGCGGTGGGGATGCCGGTCTCGGGGCAGCGGGCCTGCCCGTGGTGGGGGAGTGGCTTTGCTGGAAGTCCTCGCTGACCACAGCCTCTGGGTAGCAGGATCCTTAGGGCCGACCCAGCCCTTCTTCAGAAAAGGGGGTGCCGGGGTGAGGGAGGGGGGCGGGCCCAGAATGAGTGGGGCCAGAGCTGGGTCTTCCCACTAACGGCACCCCTTCACAAGCTCAGGGTGCCCCAGAAACACCATGTGGGGGGTGACGGGTGTTCACTCAGCGGACCCCTGAGCTGGGCCCTGGCCCCCGGAAGGGTGGCTGGCTGAACGCCAACAGGAGAGCAGGTCTGTCTGAGGCTGCGGGTGCTGGAGGCCAGAGGCCGGAGCGCCCTGCCCGCTCTTGTCTCTGGAGCGCCATCCTGGATGTGTGCTCCCTCTGGCTGCCCACCTGCCCGTCCCCCCACTTGGATGACCATGGCCACGCAGGGTGTCCTCTATGCTGTCCCCCCAGTGCAGCTCAGCTGGTGTCCCCACCAGACTGGGGACTGGGGCGCGTCGAGGTCTGATGAGTGGACACCAACAGTCAGAGTTCTTCCAGCAGGAGCCCCGCCCTCGGGGGCTGGGGACCAACCTGGGGTCACCCCCCGGAACACCTGCTGGGCGGGCCATCACATCTGTCCTAATCCTGGCATCTGGGGTGGGGATGGACTTCACAACCCGCAGGTTTTGGCCAGAGGAGGGCAGGACAGGCCTGCTGTCAGACTCACTGTGGGGTCTCACACACATCACATGCCCCTCTCCAACCTGTTTCCCCACTTGCTAGATGAGAGTGGGTGGGTGCAGTGAGCCGGGGCCCCAGGGGAACGAGCCCAGCCCGCTCGTGACCTGGCCTGTCACTAGACAGCCGGGACTCTGCCCGCCACAAGGGGGCTCCCGGGGGGGCGAAAACCAGGACCCCTGCCTGCATTCCCCCTCAGGCCGTGGGAGCACGAAGTGAGGTGGGAGGGGCCAGACCAGGGGCACTGCAGAGGGCGGGACGGGGGAAGGGCTGCCACCCCACCTGCACCCGTAACTGGGCCCCCAGCGCCCTCGAAGGCCACCCACGGAGGGGCCGCACGCAGGTCTCAGCAGCAGGCGCCAGGGGCCTGAAGTGAGGCCCCTGTCGCTGCCCAAACCCCAGGCAGCACAGCCACGCAGCGGGACACAGGAAGTTTATTTAGGCTAACAAGCAACGTGGGGGTAGGGTGCTCAGGAGTGGACCCCGCGCCTCCCCGAGGGGCTTTCCCAACCGTGCAGGCGGGCGTACTGGCGCCCTGGGCTGCTGCGTGCTCTCTAGCCACGCCCCCCGCCCCCGCAGACCGCGGCGCCGGGCAAGTGGCGAGACCAAGGCATCTGCAGAGGCGACAGGCCCTGCCCGGCTCTGGGGGTGGAGTGTCTGTGCGCAGGGTTCCGGGCCGAGGCAGGCAGCACCAGGCGGGCCAGGGACGGGGGCGTGACTTCGGGGGACACGTGTGGTCCATAGAAAGTAAACCGACGTCTCTCCCACAAGGACTCGGTTTAATCGAGGTGGCCCGTGCTAGCCGAAACCCGGTGTTTCGTGGCTTTCCGGCCGGGCGGCCTCCCAGTCACGCGCACAGCACGGCTCCCGCCAGCGGTGTGTTTGGTGTCGGGGGCGACGGGCTGAGACGCCTTTGTGCCCATCACACTCCCCACCTCGACCGTCGGGAGCACCTTCCGGTTTCATGGTGGCGGCACCTGGACCCTGGGTGTGCGCCCACAGACTACAGGCTCTTTGCCGGCAGGCTGTGCGGGTCCGGTTGCAACCGCAGGTGTTTTCAGATGGGACTCCTCCTCTGGGCCGGGGCAAGCTGGCCAGCGGACAGCGGCGCCCAGGACTCCGTGTCCTGGGGCTGCCTTATGGGAGAGACTCCTGGGGGACCGGGCCCCGCCCCCGGCACCCAGGCAGCGCACAGGGGTCCGTCCTCGGGAGACAGCAGGGATGACATTCGCAGGCAGGACAGTGTTGGCAGACGCACGGGACTCCCCGACGCCAGGCCCAGTGACGGCCGGGGGCGGGGCCTAGCGGGCGGGGCCTGGCGCAGGGTGGGGGGGCCCCGCTGGGCTGGGGCGGTCGGGAAGGGTGAGCGGGTAGAATAGGCGTTACTGGAAGTCGTAGAACAGCTTCCGGGGAGTCATGAACTCTCGGACTATCTCGTCCGTGACCTCCTTGCGCCGGGCCTGGTGCTCCGCGATCAGGGGCTGCAGCACCTCGATGAGCTCCTTCTTGAGCTCCCCGGTGAGCATGGCTCCGCTGGAGTAGTCCTGCCCGCGGAGGAGAGGAGTGTGAGGGCCGGCTCCGCCCTCCCACGGCCTGCTGGGAGCCTTAAACTGCGCCCTCCTAAAAACAGGGGGCTCGGTCCCGACTGTGGGCGTGTGGCTCCGACCCGCCCTCACCCGGCGGAAGGGGAGAGGGCGTGCAGATGCAGCCGCCCTGCCTGCGGAGCTGGAGCCGGAGCCGGGCCGCCAAGCGCACGGACCCACGGCCGCTCCTCCAGCCTCACCGGCTTCTGCACGGTGCTGCGGACTCCCCCGCTTCCTGTCTGCAAACGGGGTGCTAGTTCCCAGTCGGGGCCACGGGGCTGCAGAGGCCCCGAGAGCTAGAAAGCTGGGGGCAGGGCTGTGAGTACCCTGTGGGGTCTCCACGCCCACGGCCACGCTGCTCCTGGAGGGCTGTGCCGGTGGCACTGCCGCCCCTGCCGGAGCCGGGAAGCGTCGCAGCCGAGCCCGCACCCTCGGGAGGGAGCTGTGTTCACGTGGACGGAGCCCTGACTTGAGTGCGGTTAGCCCTTCCGTGCGGCCACCGCATGAACAGCAGCTTGCCTCCCTCGCGCCCCCGTCCGCGAGTGTCTGCTCCTGAGGGCTTGGAGCACCCAGGGGCGCACCCGTCCGCCCGCTCAGCTTCGGTCCCCGGGGCCCGGCCCCCCGCCTCACCTTCCTGATCTGCTCCAGCTTGTCGTCGTCCTCCAGGAAGAAGGTCAGGTACATGTAGGACACGTCCACGTCGCAGTTACCCCCGAGCTGCCTGTGCTCCTCGACGGTGTCTCTGCCTCCGGAGAACGCGTGCTTGTTGACCTGCGCCGGCCGGAGACACAGACGCGCTAGCCGGGCCCAGCCACCGGCCGGAGCCCGGGAGCGGGCGGGCGGTCACGCCGGGGCCTGGCCGGAGGGGGCCGGGCTCGGGGCGGAGGCAGGGGGCCCGCAGACGGCTCCCCCCTGCCAGGCCAGGGTCCCCAGGACCGCGGGCCTCGCCGCAGGGAGGGGCTGGGGCTGCGGGGGGGGGGGGCGGACTCGCTTCGTGCCCCGCGCCCCGGAGAGGAGAACAGGGTCAGGGATTGGACGTGTGGGGGAACATCCCGCAGTGCTCTCTGGGACGAGCTTCAGAGAGAGGACAGACGCCCACCACCTCCAGAGAGCCACAGACAGCTGGGGTGGCGGGGCCGCCACCGGAGGACGGGGCGCAGCAGCCCCCCCCGCCCCGAGCCAGCCCAGCCGCTGCCTCCCCCCAGGAGAGAGTGGCAGGCAGGGGCGGGTGGCTCGGGGGCCAGCATGGGACCCAGGACACCTGAAGGCAGCGCCGGCTGACACTTCAGGAGCTGCAGACAGACAGACTGACTCACAGACGCACGCCAGGGACCACTGAGGAGAACCCCGGAGGGACCAGGGCCAGGAGGGAGAGAAGGAAGCCAAGAAGG